CTCACTCTACTTTCGTTTGCAGTCCTTGTCCACTTTACAGGGATGCGCGCGTTTGAGCGCGATAGTTGTTTTTGAGCCATATCGTCTTCCGTTCCAATTTCCTCTGACGTTTTCCGCTAGAGTTCTGTAGTTTTCATAGTTCTCATAGAACTACAAACGAGTTAATGACGTCCCATCAACACTGGCGGGCTTTCAGGCCACATGAACACTGGGCATTTGAGAGATTATTTACAGCATAATTTTTTGGATTTCAACCATGAGAGGAAAACTGTATGATTTATCAGACCCTTGTGTCTAAAGCAACATACAACTCAGAAGGCAGGCTCAGCCAGTCCTTGGAGCAGTGGGGGTTAGGGACCAGTGATGAAATCACTGTGCCAGGTACAGGAACTGGGGACATTTTGATTGCAGTCCTCACCCACTGAGCCACACCCCGCCCCCCTTGGGTATATCATGGGGAGGACATGGTGCAGTCGTGGGCTTCTGCTTAGGGAAGCCTACATGTTATTGAAAGATTGTTGGTTCAAATCAATGACCAGCAAAGTACCACTGTGATACCCTGAGCAAGGTACGGCCCCCAACACTGCTGCCCAAGCACTGAATTAGCTGCCCCCTGCTGTGTCATGATGTCACATATTGGTTACATGCAGAGGACACATATTATTGTTGTTGTGTGCTGTGGCGTGTCAACAATGACAACTAATCACCTTCACATGCATAGTAGAGGTGGAAACCCCACCATTGAAGTGTTGAGTCTGCCCTTTTGTACAAATATATGCTTTTTGTCGTGTATTTACAGTTGTCCAGATCTTCGGGCTTCTCATGGCAACAAACTGCATCCTAGTTTGGCACTGGGAATCAAGTGTGTCTGAATGACTAAACATTCTGACACACCTGTTGGGTGTGGCCATGTTCGTTGTTGTGATGAATGAATCCTTTTCCCTTCAGCTTTTCCAAGTATTATTGTCTTCTCCAGTCCTCTAGTGCACTGGATTTTCGCACACCATAGGCAAAGTCAAACCGCTGCAGTCTGCTCATTTGTGCTTCAACTGGAAGTCCTTGCTTGGCTTAATTAAGAATCTGATTGTTTTACTTTGCAGTGAGTGGTTGTTTAGTTTCCCTGTTATTCTAGTGTGTTGGGGCCTGTTTCAAAAAGCAGGGGCATGTTTCAGGAAGCAGGATTTCTCTTTCTTCTGGAGAACGTGTTTGATTTAAAATACTGTAGTCTGGGCTAAATGTAAGTGGACAAAGACAAAGTCCATCTAGCTCAGGCTACCTTAAATCCAGCAAGTTATTTGGCTAAGTAAGAAATCCTGCTTTCTGAAACCGGCCCCTGGAAAATGTTTTGCTGCATGTTTACATATTGTGTTACTCTGAAAGAATGTGCCCCTGTTGATACTATTATTATCATCATCGTCATCATCATCATCGTCGTCGTCATCATCATCATCATCATCATCATCCTTGGGATTGGTTAGCAGGCTTTACTACCTACAAAGAAGAGACAAGAAACTCTGTGACAGATTTGTTATTTGCATTAGTTTAAGATAATAATTTCTATAGCAGATGAAATTATCTTGCCAATGGTGAAAGTGGCCCAGTGAAGCCAGCCTAACCTAAGGGTACATTGACCTTTAACTCCCATTAAAATAATAAATATTGAGTCATTTCACTTTGCGAATTTCCCAAACATAAATAGATCAGTGAGCCATAAACAGTTTGATATTAGGAGTGATCTCTACAAATAAAAAATATACATATTTTAGCTGTTCGTAAAACACTTTGAAAAGTAATCCTTTCAGTTATGTGATCTTTTTTTTCCATTTACTGTTTGTCTTTATTGCCTTAAATTTACATTCATTTCATGTACATGAAAAATAAGCTCTACCTATCTGTTTTCAGCAATTTCTTGAAGGTGCAACTACCGAAATTGCCTGTAGGGGGAAATGAAGAGACAGAAGGGTCTAGGATTCACAATTACTGCTCTTGAGAGAGATGTTGTGTCATCATTTTCACAAAACAAAACCTGTAGCTAGATATCACAGTGCCCCCGGGCCCTACTTCCCAGCATTCACATAACTGTTGGCTGTACCCCCACATTTAAATTGCTATGTTACAATATTGTGAAATCTTATGAGGTCATCCACCTTGTTGCTCTCACACCTGGCAGCGGAACAATACCTGGGCCTCATGTAAGCTCAGTCTGTTCTGGAATTGTAGTGAAATTTTAGATCACGGAGACAAGATGAAAGAAGGTGAAGGGGGATATAGAAATGTGGAAGATTTAAACAAGATCAGTAATATTATTCCTTGAGCCACTTTTCATGTGCGTTGTTGACCCACACTTTGGTAACAGGCACAGACGATGGGTGACTGTGACCTCGTGCACACATGCCTGCAAAGCCACATTTCCCATGAGTATTGCTCACTAAGTATTGCTCACTGAGTATTGTAGCTGTTTATGTTTTAGTGAAGTAAATGTAGCCATTTTCTGCATGTCATAAGTAAAGTGGAGCATTTTATCTGTTTCCTCTGGTGCACATGGAGTTAAAATGTGTCTTAGCTCTCATCATTACATACTGCCCCCTTCAGGATGGGAGATAGCAAGCACACTGCGGCTTTTTGAAACAGCATTACTGGAGGCTGACACGATCTATCTGAAGCCAGGCACACACCAAGCTGAGACCAATTCAACATGCTAAATCGTCCAAAACAGCGCCATCATTAACCAACCTTGTCCAATGGTGTCACAGACACCGGCTCAGCAGGAAATGACCAACTCTCACCGACTCTCACCGACTCTCACCCACGTCCCGTCAGCTGAAAATGGGCTTGGTGTGTTCCATGCTTTATACTTTCTGAACAGGAGCAATGCAGACAGCTGCCAGAGATCCATCTCCTCATCAGTTTTCTGGCTGTCGGCGTGTAAGGTGGCCTATGATGCGATTGGTTAGGGTACGGTTCTAATATGGCAGTGTCTGACGGATCCATGCTGACACTGTGAGTTTGAGCCTCACCTGGAGAGCTGGCACTCTATGTCCCTGATCAGAATATCGCCAGTTCAAATTCCAGGGTTTGCAAGCTGATGTTGCTGTTGGGCCCTTGAACGAGGCCCTTAATTAACCCCAATGGCTCCAGGGGCACCTGATAACAGCCATCCCTGCACCATGACCTCCATCCCTGCACCATGACCTCCATCCCCGCACCATGACCTCAACCCCCGCACCATGACCTCCACCCCCGCACCATGACCTCAACCCCCGCACCATGACCTCCATCCCTGCACCATGACCTCAACCCCCGCACCATGACCTCCATCCATACACCATGACCTCAACCCCTGTACCATGACCTCCATCCCTGCACCATGACCTCCACCCCTGCACCATGACCTCAACCCCCGCACCATGACCTCAACCCCTGTACCATGACCTCCATCCCTGCACCATGACCTCCACCCCTGCACCATGACCTCCATCCCTGCACCATGACCTCAACCCCCGCAAAATGACCTCAACCCCTGAACCATGACCTCCATCCCTGCACCATGACTCCATCCCTGCACCATGACTCCACCCCCGCACCATGACCTCCATCCCTGCACCATGACCTCAACCCCTGTACCATGACCTCCATCCCTGCACCATGACTCCACCCCTACACCATGACCTCCACCCCTGCACCATGACCTCCATCCCTGNATGACCTCAACCCCTGTACCATGACCTCCATCCCTGCACCATGACTCCACCCCTACACCATGACCTCCACCCCTGCACCATGACCTCCATCCCTGAACCATGACCTCCACCCCCGCACCATGACCTCAACCCCTGCACCATGACCTCCATCCCTGCACCATGACTCCATCCCTGCACCATGACTCCACCCCTGCACCATGACCTCCACCCCCGCACCATGACCTCCACCCCTGCACCATGACCTCCATTCCTGCACCATGACCTCCAGGCTTGCCTTTACCTCTATTTGTGACTGTACGCCTCAACGAGAGCAAAGGCGAAAAAAGAAATTCCCCAGGATATTGAATAACATCTCATCAATATACATTCCTTTGTTCAAACCTTTTGGAATAAGGAACATCAAAACACATCAATATAATGCATTGATATTATATAGAAAAGAGCTTCCCTCCACCAGAGTGAAACCTGTATGTTTTTCACAATTCATTGAAAATACTGAGAAGGGCAATGAATGCTGAATTATACAGAAACTATAAAGAAATGAAAAATTAAGCCTTATTTTTTGTGGTTTCTCTGAAATAATGTCAGAGCATTACGCTGGTTTGTTAATCAGCATACAAGCATTTCAATCAGGCACTTGCGCCATGCTGAAGAGCCCTTAATCATTAGGGGAGCAGGTTTGCCTGGGAGTCTCCAGGCCCCCTATCTTTCAGTGCTGAGCTGTGCTAATGCTGTGCTTTTAAGTCAGTCACACATAATGGACTTCCACTGCGGTTACAATGAGAGATGCACAACAATTTAAACAACAGCTTTATTAAAATCTATAGAGGGACTCTGAAACCCTACATGTTACAACTACAACATCGTTCAGAGCAGAATGAGGCAAACAACACTTTATGCGAATCAACAGTACTGTGAGGACGGCAAGTCTGTACATGATCAAAGGACTTGGAGTCTGCTCCCATGAGGCCCTGCAGGGAAGTGACCCCGAAGGCTGGGCAGTCCTTTGGCGTCCCCTGCTGGCGTAACACCGTGCTCAGCACAGGGAGCTGATCTCGCTTTTGCTGCAGCCCCACTTACAGCAGGCATTGGAGAGCCCGACCACCACATCACGGCCCTTGCGGTCAGAGGTGCGCAGCGCCTCCAGTACCTCTTCTGAAATGAGGGATCGCACCGGCCGGATCCAGGGGCTCCAGCGGGGGGTCTCTGCTGCAGGGAACTGCCGGTAAGGAAGTCCGGGGATGGCATTTGGGCTCCAGCTGTCCGAGGCCTCATTGAGGGGTCCAAAATGGTCTTCCATAAAGTCATCTGGGTGGGAGGATGGGAAATGTTACACCAACCAGTAACATCATCAGCATCATGATTGTCCAGTCAGAACATGTGTCCCCCTACAGGCAACATGATTGTCCACCAAACTCTCCAACCATTAAACGATAAACCGGGTCACAACTGAGAAGCTGGTGACACAGAGGTGGACACATTGATGTTCACAGAGAATGGCAAAAAAAAATTACAAATTTCCATGGAAATAGAGACAAAATTCTTTTACAAAGAAATGGACAGATGGATGCTCACAGCTTATTTTATATAAGCAGGGAGAAGAGCGGACATACAGACTAACAGAGAAACAGACAGACAGACAAAGTGCAATGCAAAAAGAAAGAGACAGACAGACACGTGATACAAAATGACAGATAGACAGAGAGACAGACTGCAATACAAAAAAGAGGGATAGACAGTCAGTGAGACAGACCAACAGACAGATTGTAATACAAAAACACAGAAAGAATGAGACACAGGCAGACCACAATACAAAAACGTAGAACTAGAGAGACAAAGTTAGAGACAGACATAGAGACAGACAGACTATAATACAAAAACACAGAGACAGAAAGACAGGCAGACAGACTGCAACACAAAAAGACAGAAATAAATAAAGTGACGGACAGACTGCAATACAAAAAGAGGGATAGACAAAGTCAGTGAGACAGACCAACAGACAGACTGTAATACAAAAACACAGAAAGAACGAGACACAGGCAGACCACAATACAAAAACGTAGAACTAGAGAAACAAAGTTAGAGACAGACATACAGACAGACAGAAAAACAGACTGTAATACAAAAACACAGAAAGAACGAGACACAGGCAGACCACAATACAAAAACGTAGAACTAGAGAAACAAAGTTAGAGACAGACAGAAAAACAGACTGTAATACAAAAACAGAAATAGACAGAGAGACAGACAGACAGACAGACACACTGTAATACAAAAAGACAAAGAGAGATCATAGAGACAGAGACACCGACAGAGAGAGAGACGGACATGCTTCCAGTCTCACCCGCCGTGTCCACAGCCCTCCTCCAGCGGGACCCCCCGCAGGTGAAGATGACGGCTCGGATGAACTCACGTCCGCACAGCTTGACCCCATAGGCAGGGTGAGTGTCGGTGGCCCCAACTCTGGCCACCAGAAGGCAAGCGGCCAGCAGTGCACCTTTCCACATAGCCGGCCGGGGAAGCGGGGTGGAGCTTTGCAGTGTCGTGCGGTAAAGCGGATGTTCCTGGGGGGTCCTCCTGTCCTCCTGGCTGCTGCTCTTTGCCTTGGTCACTGCTGTGTGCCGCCTGGTCCCCTACATCCCCCTTATATTGGGGTGGGACACGCAACCCACAGGCAGCAGCAGAGCCACAGATAGTCGAACGAGATAGAGGATGGGACCTTTACGGAGACAATGTCGGGACAGGACGCGGCATAATCAGCAGAGCGTTTTCCAAAGGAGTATGTCTCATCTGATGACAGATGACCTTTCTGTCCCCTTGTCACCTCCCTCCACCTGTATCTCCATCCTCAGGACCAGCTCCAACTTAATGCATACAAATCTGCAAAATCCTTGTTGGCTGCCAATGCAACTGATGCATCAGCCAGAGAAAGGGCTGAAAAAAGCAGATCACATGCAGTGCAAGGAATAATAATTTTGCATTATTTATTTACTTTTTATCAGCATTTGAATTAATATATAATATAATTAAATATCGATCACTAATAAACATGATTCAATTAATTTCTAATTAGTTATTTTCAGGCGATTTATTAAGCTTATTACTTTTTTATGTTTCGCAGTGCAATAGAAAGTCTTTCATTTATGTTTTCTGTGGTCATTTATGCTTTTGCATTAACACAATTTGAATGATTTATAATGGGATTTTTTCCAACAATAAAAAACACATCAAAGCTACTGTTTTTTTCCTCAGAGTACCAACCGCGCCCCCTGCTGCATCTAAGCCATCCCTGGATGTCGCCTCAGACTGACACCCTTGGGGTCGTGTCAGGACACCCAGCGTTACCCTGCGACATGCAGAAATAGTGTGACCTTTAAGCAACCGATAAGGAGTTTGAGCATAATAATAAGAGCAGATAGGGGCTAAGGCTGCATTTCATTATCTACAGCCTGAGAGCCAAAGGTTCCTCACCTCGAGCGGAAGTAACAAAGCGACCTACAACTGACAGTGACTGCGCGGTTGGCATTTTCCGCATCATTTTCTGATCTTTGCAAGCAAAATAGCACTCAGACCAAACATCCTTAATCGCTTCATGTAGTCTTAATAGGAGCGATAAACAATCATGGCGTGTAATTGGACATTTTGTGTAATTCTGAGATGTGACATTTCGACAAGCGTGTATAGCTCTGAGAAACTCTCTCTGTGCTGGACCCAATATCGACTGCTTTTCAGCGATAAAAAAAGGCAGGATGAAACAAGAAGAGCTGACGGGATTATGTTTGCGCTGCTTGGCACATGGCGTCCCAGAGTTAAGGTTACACCTACGCTGCCAAAGTAACACTTTGTAAGTGTAATTAGACAGCCGACATGACGCAGCCCCGTGAAGGTGCATTACAGACTCTACAAAGTGTTTTGAACCGATACTCCGAGCTGGTGATTTTTTTCTTAATGGATAATTCAACGTGTAAGTTTAGAAAACTCTTTTAAAAAGTCTCCGTAAAAAAAGCATGAACCTAAGGTAATCTTGTGACCTTTCAGCCACACTTGTTTTGTTTCTTGACATCCTGTCTTGTTTTATGCTAAATCTTGCCATCAGGCCGTCATAATGGGACTGAAACCAGACAAGTGTGTTTGCAAGTTTTTGCGTTACATGTTATTCATCGAAGTTAACACCATGTTTGTGCCATGTGGAAATGGTAACAATTAGCATTTAAGTTTCGATATTGTATTAAATGTGGATATAACTTTTCCCCTTTGCGTGTTGGATGGATTTGTGTAGCTTACATATTTCTCCGCAAAATGAAATTTACAGTAATAAGCACTATTTGTATATACATTATTTTGCAATAAAAATTTATTGAATACAGGGACATACAGATGTATTTCTCTCAGAATGATCTCACATAACATTATATCCCACTACATTTTTTTTCTAGACTTTTTTTTATTGTAAAACGTGTAGCTTAGTTGATTAAGTTTGAGCGATACTACCTGACATTTAGAACTAATGATTTACCTAGATGGACATATTATTCCATTTAGGTGGTAAACACTTAAAATGACTGAACAAAAAGCAAAAAAAAACAGTAAGAAGCTTATTGGAAATGAGACACACACACATCGATAGATTTCCAGTCTAATAGTAATAATCCAGTTTGATTGACAGTTGAATGGCCCAATTGCAGAAGAATTTGGAGTAGGTTTAAATTGCGCAGTTCCTTTATGTGATTGACAGAGCCTTCTTGCGAATAAAACGAGAGGCAGTTTATTGACAAGTGAATAGCCCTATCGTAGGAAAACAAGTTAATAGTTCGTTTCGCAATTTAGCCAATCAATAGCTAGGAGAGGGAGGGATGAAACTAGGTGGGTAGCAACAGTTGCCCCGGTGAGGACGAAGCGCCATAGCCACGGTAGTCCTGGCGACAAGAACCCAGCAACGAGAATCAACAACAACAACCCGAACCTTTAAAAAATAACAACGCCAAAAATACCGGAGGAAAATCCACTGGAGATCAAAGGTGATGAAAACGAAAACTTTATTCGTCGTCAAATATTTTTTAAATGAAAAAGATCGGAAACACTGCTGTTATTTCCTCGTTTGTTGTTTCTGTAGCCCCACATAGCTTGCTGGATCGAGGCGGGGGTGCGAGTGCTGTATCTGTGCCTAGCCGCTTTCCACTTGCAGGCGGTTGTTATGACGATGTCAAATCCGTGATTGGAGTACAAAATGGCGGGTGTTGTAATGTGCGAGGTTGCTGTACTTTATTTGGTTTTGTTTCAGAGACGTAGTATTTTGCCGGACTCCGGGAAACTAGAGCAATGGGTAAAATAGCTAATATTACAAAGTATTAAGCGGGAAGTGGCGAGGTACGTGTCGTTCGTGTGGTTTTGGTAAAATGTTGTATTTTACAAGCAAACGTTTTGCTGCTTACTTTGAACAGTCGTTGTTTATGGTTGCCGCAGTCTCAGACGGACTCTTACAGATATTGTGAGGATCTACGTTTATAAGCAGCTTTTTCTAAGTTTCGTCTGTGCCAGCGAAAGTCGACGAGCCATATGCTTGGCAGATCGTCTTCCGCGGCTGTCAGAGTAGGGGTGTCAAACGGGGAAGTGTGTTAGGGGTGGGGTGACGGGAAAGGGAGGGGACGGCGGCCGGGGGGGGGGTCTTGCGTGATTGACATAAGGCGTTAGCCAATTGGAAGGCGAACTTACCCAGCGACCTGCCAATGATGACGAGGCGTTAAGTAGCCCCAATGAAAAGTGGTGGGGAAGCCCAAGGCCGCGCTCTCTAGTGAGAAGTGCTGGCGGTCCGGTTTCACTTCTAACCGCTATTTGCGTCTGTTCTCTTCACTCTTCGGCATGTAACTACCGACCAGCTGGCTATGCGCTGTGTATAGCGGCTTTCCTTCATTCAGTCTCTTTTTCCTCAAAATAGTCAAACTCCAGATTCTGCGCTTCCCATAGTTTTTCGCGTTAAAGTCATTCGTTACTCATCGTTGAGAAACCACACGTAAGGTCGAGTTCATGTATATCTGTATTTGTTTAATTTACTGATGCACTGGAGGCATGGAACTAACCAAGTGCAGTTGGGCTGAACTTCCATCCGGTGCCAGTGCGGCTTAGGTTTGACGAAGAGCTACGCAGACGCTGCGCATAGCAAGTAACTGCTATGGCGTTTTTTAACAAAGGGCTCAAAACGAACTTTTTAAAAACATGTAACACACCTGTAACACTTGGCCATGTTTAAAAAGATGAAATAACGAAAACATACTATTTAATTCACACTGGACGGACCAATTTAGCTTAATTTTACCGGATCAAATTAAGGCTAAGACGACCGGTTTGCGGACTCGTCTGCAAGGTGTGGTTAATGAAAGCGGTACATGTAAACGCTACCGCCCCTTCGGTGACGATCACTCTGCTAAATCAGAGAACTACACACAAACACAGTGTATCACTAATTTGATAGCTGCACGCAATCATTGTTACCACCATCCATTCAAGATTCAAAAGTTTTCACTGTCATTGTGTTACATGCAAGGAGATTACGTTAGTGACTTCCCATGTCGATGCAATCACAAATAGGAATTGAACTATATATAAACATTACACAATATGTAAAAGTAAACAATGTGCAGAGTAAAAATACATTTAAGTAGTGAAACTATTAAAGAAATGTATTATAAACAGTATGTAACTATATCTGCGTAAGCGAACGCAGTCGCGCGACTCTAAATATTAAAAAAGAAAAGCCGAAAAGCTTTGAGGTGCCACGCTGATGAGAAAAGTGTGCGATTGATATGACAGGATCACGACGGTGGAAAATGATCATGGAGCTGATAAAGCGAGAACCGTTATTGGAGAAAGGCGGAATGAGAAGAGTGGGCTGTTGGTGTCGGCGGAGGACAGCCTAGCTGTCCAGTGTCCCCTCCGCACTGCACTCCACAGTCAGCCGATTATCTGTCACTGAACACTGAGTCGTCTTGTGACAGGAGCGATACAGAATAGCTATCTGTGGTCATGATTTTTTTTTTTTTTTTTTTGCAAGATCTACTATGTTTGGACCTCATAGACAAACTCAGGCCTGGCGAAATTATTCTTAGTCAACCGTGGCAGTTATTTAAAAGAAATCGGACATGGACAAAATCCGGTGTGTCACTTCCGTCCATGGTTCGCCAACACAAATCAATAATATGACAAAAATATTAATGTTAATAAATTATTGAAGCACCATTTTAAACTACTTTAGATAGTTTTAATTATTAAACCAAATGAGGCTGACACACAATCTTTGCTTGCGTTGCTGAATTAGACCCTTGGGGGAAAGTATTTGGGGTTAGTAGTAGCAATGTGAACACATATTTTATATACACAATTTGACCCAAATTATGTGCCAATGAACATATTTTATAAATTATGGCAGTGACATAATTGACATCATGCCTTTAATACCGTCTAATTACATTAATTTAAATCTCAAGTTAAAATGTAAATTTGGTTTTTAATCAGATCTCTGATGCTTTAATAATCAGGACTGCAAGTCTCCTTACCTAGTACTCCAGGTTTTGCTTGTTATTTTGCTTGAAACTACGGTGGGTGTGATTACGAAGCATGATCTATCAGTGATTCCAGCGTGAGCTTACAGAGTAGCAAAGGTGAAGTTAGTCAGTGATTGACAGCACTCAATAGCTTCGTCCACAATGGAAATTAAAGCTTGAATGATTTTGATCTAGGAAGTTCTTACTTCAGGCCAGCCCATCCTGAAGTCCCTGCCCTCGAGGGCTGCATTGTGTTTGTTATGCAGGATACCCTGGCTCTCAGCCGCTTAACTACAGTTGTTATTTGGACATTTGAGCAGGTTAACAGTGCTGGTGAGGTGTCACACTGGTGCTGACAGAAATGTATGTAAAGGCTGTAGGGCTGCTGAAGGACTTTACAGTTTCTATGGTATCTTAGAATTTTAAATGATAACACTGGCAATATATAGGCCTACTGATCCCTACACAGGAATGGACTTAAAATATATTTTAGTCCTGGCCCACGATAGGCCGGCCTGTTGGGAATTCCCACTGTAGCCCCAACGACCAGTCCATCCCTCTCCATATGTTTTCTATTGGCAATAAGCTGCGAGGTGAATAAAAAATCCTTATCCTGATTTGCTTAATTTGTATTCTCCTACAGAATAGAGCAAGTTGGTGCTTGACTCATTAAGACAGTTTATTCCCTGCTGTAATCATAGATAAATAAAATGATCAGCAGAACGCAATTGAAGTTATTGTACCATCAGTTGCCTGTCTGGAAAAAATATGTAAAATCTGTGTAGTACAAATGCTCCTTCAAAAATGACTGCAAGTAATTACACAGGGAAATCATGTCAAGACTCCCACATAAACTGATCGAGGTTAAGATGGGTGTAACGCAAATTAAGCAGACATATTGTGTACAGATTTGTGAAAATGGTCTTGTCAGAATGTTTGTGTTTCCAGCATCTGACTGTGCATGAGACTGGCCTCCTTCCACATGCTTTTTTCAATGAAGTTGTATTGAAATGTCTTACTTAAAAATAGTGTATATTTAGTTAGATGTTTTAATACAGCACCTTTCCCAGCAAAGTATCCCCAAAGCGTTTGACAAAAATATATTAAGGTCACCATAGATTAGTTGTTCTATAGTAAAGAAAAAAAATAAATTAAGTAGTTATAGGTGGGTTTAAATAAATAGGAGGGGAGACATAAAGATTATAGAAAGGGTTGTGAGTTAAATCAGCATGTTGTGTCTAAGGGTAGGGCGCTGTAGCCTGTGTCTGACCTTGACAGCCTGTGCCGAGGGCGGCTGGCTTATCAGACGAGCTTCTCCACATTGGTCAGAAGGTCCCGCATCAGGTTTCACGCTGCTGGGGACAGGGTGATGTGGCTGCGGCTTGCGTGCTCTTTCGGAAGCATCTCTCCTGCGTATATCCTTTCTTTATTTCAGTACAGACTATTTTTTTCTCATACAGGAAGTTCCTCAGAGAGCTTTCTGGGGAAAACAAAAGCCCTTATCCGCTTCTGTTTTTTTCTATTACCGTCTTTCTAAAACACACCCTTTGAACAGATGGTGCAGACGTGGATTAGAAAGGGGCTCGCATGCAAAAGGGATGCACTTTGTCTAGAGTGCAACCGCGGCTGCCTTAGAGCCAGCAGCTGGGGCAAACGCGTGACACTGATTGTCTGTGTGGCACGTGGTGATGCTACGTAAGTGGAGATGCACCCTCTCCCAGCCTCTCCTTACGGCTGGCAGGCTGGTTTTGCTGTGACACACCGTGAGACTGGGGGCATAACATGTACTAAATGGACAAAGTATTGGGACACCTGGCCATTATACCCACAGGAACTTTTATCACATCCCATTGTAAACCCATAGGCATCAATATGGAGCTGGTCCCCCCTTTGCAGCTATAACAGCTGCCACTCTTCTGGGAAGGCTGTCCACAGGATTATGGAGTGTGTCTGGGAATTTTTGCCCATTCATCCAGAAGGGCATTTGTGAAGTTGGGCACTGATGTTGGTTGTGAAGGCCTGGCTCACAATCTCCATTCTAGTTCATTCGAAAGGTGTTTGATGGCGTTGAGGTCAGGGCTCTGTGTGAGCCAGTCAAGTTCTTCTACAGCAAACTCGCCCAACCGTGTCTTTATGGACTTTGCTTTGTGCACTGGGGCACAGTCATGCTGGAACAGGAACAGTTCCCACAAAGTTGGAAAACTAGAATTGTCCAAAATGTCTTGCTGTGCTGAAGCATTAAGAGTTCCCTTCCCTGGAACTAAGGGGCCAAGCCCAACCCCTGATAAACAATCCTATACCATTATCCCTCCTCCACCAAACTTTACACTTGGCACAATGCAGTCAGGTACCATTCTCCTGGCATCCGCCAAACCCAGACTCATCCATCAGACCGCCAGACAGGGAATCATGGTTCATCACTCCACAAAACACGTTTCTACTGCTCCGGAGTCCAGTGGCAGTGTGCTTTACACCACTCCATCAGACACTTGGTGATGTGAGGCCTGCATGCAGCTGCTCAGCCATGGAAGCCCATTCCATGAAGCTCCCAGTGCACAGTTTCTGTGCTGGAGTTAATGCCAGAGAAAGTTTGAACTCTGCAGTTATTGAGTCAACAGAGCGTTGGTGACTTCTGTGCACTCATGCCGAGGCACCGGTTGCTCTTTCAGTTCACCTTTCAGCTGTGCAGACTCAGGCGGCCTGAGTGTTGCTTTCTGTGTTTCTCATCACGTGTCTCTGTGCCGTGCTGCTCGTAGGGACATTTCTGTGTATAAGAACATAATTGGTCACTCAAGCAACACAAGTTACTGTCTCCCTTTCACAAGCATCAGGAGCCACAGCCTGACCCTCAAGCCTGCCAGTGAGACAAACAGACAGAATCTGCCAGTGAGACTGAACAGACAGAATCTGCCAGTGAGACGGAACAGACAGAATCTGCCAGTGAGACGGAACAGACAGAATCTGCCAGTGAGACTGAACAGACAGAATCTGCCAGTGAGACGGAACAGACAGAATCTACCAGTGAGATGGAACAGACAGAATGCTTGTTTTGTGGAAAAAATGAGAAATGTAACAATGGGAGTGAATTTTTGATGAAATGATTGTTTTTGGCACAAAGGCTTTGTTGTCTTGCTACTTTTTTCCATATCTGGGGCTGGAATTAGTCCAGCCTGCTGTTTTTTCTTTCAAATCGATGTGTTTTCTGCATGCCTGTGGCGTGTTTCCTTTGAAACGCTCAGCACCTGGAGATGAAAACATCTCTGGGATGAAACACAAAACCGGAGCCCTGTGTGGTTGAGGCTGACTGCGGGGGGGGGGGACGCCCTAGAGGGGGGCAGCCATGAATTCCAGCTATCACATTACATCAGAACCACCCCCACAGCCCTGTCCTTTCCTCAGTTTCTCTTCCCGTTACCCGCTGACAGCTGGCACGCCGTGACAGAGGCAGTCCCGAGTAATGCCTTCGGCCGTTCATAACGCAGTCGGAGCAACGCGTCGCATGAAATGCAGGTCAAGCATCCGTGGCTGAAAGTCGCACTTAAATATGCGTCGTGGTTGCGCATGAGTGGGCTGTGCTGTGGGTCTGTGCCTCATGGTGCCTCTAATGACACGCTGACAGGGGTCAAACGGGTTTTTTTTGGTCCTGAATAGATCAGACTCTTGGTATTTGTGGTGGGCGTGTGCAGGGTGCATAACATTCAGGTTTATGGCTCTGGGTAAATCGCTGGTGAAGTGGGGAGGACCTGGTGGATGGACGTGTGTCATGAAGGCCGCGTGAGCGCAGGGTGCAACCTGCCGGATGTCATGGTGGTTGAGTTGTGTGTGAACGTGACTTTTGACGGCTCCTTCTTCCCCCTGCAGTGCAGACTGCCCATCGTGGTGATGGCTACTCCAGGCTACGTGGAGGAGCTGCAGCAGCCCACGCAGCAGCCAGGGGGCGCTCTGGGCGTGACTCCCGGCCAGCCGCCGGCCCCTCCCACTTCCACCCCTCCTGCCCCGCCCCCCTTCCTGGCCGAACTGCAGACGGCAGTCACGCCCCCGCCCGTCACAGCCACTGCCCCTCCTCAGACAGGCCAGGCCACGCCCCCAGCAGCCCAGGCCACGTCGCAGAAGCAGGCCACACCAGCGCAGTACGTCACCGCGGAGATCCAGGGCTCCGGCACTGCCTCCAGCAACGGGCAAAGCACGCCGCAGTACATCGTGGTCACCGTCACTGGTGAGGGGGCGGCATGAGTGGGGATTTAGCAGAATATGGCACAGGGCACAGGGCAGGGGACGCCCAGGGTGGGATGCCAGTCCGTCATAGGGCAAAGGGCAGGGGACACCCTGGACAGGGTACCAGTCCCTCAGCAGGGGGGTGCAGCGCTGAGATCACATAGTCAGAGCTGAGACCCCCTAAAGGGTTAAAGTGCATTGCTCCCATGCACGGGGCTTTACTACGTCACTGCGGTGTGTCCCCAGAGGGCCAGAAGCGAGAGCGGCAGGCCCCGTGAGAAAGCCGCTGGCTCACAGGGTTGTAAATGCTCTCTGGGTAGGAGGTGTCATGAGTAAACCTGAGGAGATTTTAGCACAGGAAAAAATCATGAGAGGAATACTATCGGACAGCCGCGGCCTTGTCTCCGAAACCCGGGCCGGCCTTCCTGTCTGCGATCCAGGCTCTTACGCCAAATCCACTATGGGACTCCTGGAGCAGGGAAGAAACCTCCTTCCCTCTCTCTCTCTCTCTCTCTCTCTCTCTCTCTCTCTCGCTGCCCTCGTCTGGCTGTTTGAGCCGACCTCTTCCGCACGCTGGTGCTGCCGCTAACGCGGCCTGTGTTTATTTCAGGCCTGTCTATAAGTGGAGTGACCCAGTCAGTGTCACGTAGCACTGGTGTCCCGTTTCAGCAGGAAGGGAAAAGAGGCAGGTCGCTCTGCGGCTGCTGTCGCTCGCGCCTCCTTGCGAGCGCGGGAGGACCGGTGTGCCACGCCTCCCTGCTGCTCTGTCTTCTCCAGACCACGTCTATGGGCGTGCAGGAGCTCGTCAGATAAGCCACAAACAGCCCCTTTGATTCGGTTATCGCCACGCGGCCCCAGCACAGTAAAAGCCCCATCAGGAAATGACAGGACGGTGTCAGCGTCCGAGATGGAGAGGAGCCCCCACCCTCCTCCTTCCTCAACATGATCCCCGTGTTTATGCCGAGGGGGGATTTCGGCTCCCGTTTGTGGAGATTACCTGTCCAAGGCTGCCGTCCTTTTGAGTGATATAAGGGGAGGCAGATGCAGGCTGGGAGAGCCTGTCTCTCTGGCTCCATCCCTACCCTGTGCCCTGGCAGCGATGTACTACTCAGGATGGCTGTACTGCCCCCACAACAGGCACCGTGAGTACCCCCCACCCCCCACCCCCCACGCCCAGCGGGTTCCAGCTCTACTCCACACTGCTGGCGCTCATCTCTGCCTGCCCGTTATCCTCCTTCCCTGTCCCCCATCTCACTTTCTCTCCCTCTTTCTCTCCCCCAGAGGGCTCCTTGCACTCCAGCGACTCGGTGTCTGACTCCAGCCCTCCCCCGCCCGCGGTGCAGACGGCCGTGCCCACGCAGGTGGTGCAGCAGGTACCTCCGGGGGGGGGGGGGGCTGGGCTGGGAGGGTTCCATTTTGAGGTGTCCCTTTGCTTCTGCTGTAGGCTTCCCCTTGTCTGCTGGGGAAGTTCCCCTCTAAGTAGCCAAACCAACCTTGGTTTCGAGGGTCAGGCTGTGGTGACCCCCCCCCCCACCCATACATGAGCCGTGCCTCTGTCACACCCTGTCGCCTCTCCCGCATCCCCGTGGTCACACCGTGGTGTCTCCCCCCGCTTTCAGAGACTCTGTATCAGGGAGAGGGAGGAGCAGGTAGAAGCAGGCCAGATGAAAGGATCGGTCACAGGGGGGCGCATCTCCAGCGAGGAGCCGCCGTGGGCCGCTGGCGTCCCACTCTGCTGCACCGTGGGTCACCCCCCCCTTTCTAGCTCGCCTTCCCCCAGGCCCACTCCCTCCCGCTGCCCTTTGTGGATGTTCACCACTGCCCCCCAGTGGTCTTGTCAGCTATGGATGCTGCGTGAGCTGACTGCCATGCACAGAGTAGAGAGGGCAGGCAGGAAGCAGGTACAGATAGACAGGGTGAGAGGACTCCAGGCCACTTCCTGAATTACTCTAATAAGCTGCTTCTGGCCCAATTTAAAGGTAGATTGTATGCCAAGCAGCATTTTTCAGTGTATCCCCGTAGCATTTCTGGGCAGGATTCGGTAGACTGCCATGCCGTGGCTCATCCTCCAGGGGGCGCCATGCTGACCCAGCGTGTGTTGCCTTCAGGTGCAGCAGTTGCAGTCAGTGCCAGTCCAGCATGTGTACTCCAGCCAGGTTCAGTACGTGGATGGCGGAGAGACCAGCTACACCACCAGCACCATGTGAGTTCTCGTGCACATATGAGAAACACCGTGCGCCAGTCTGAGTGCCCTCACTCCTTTGTTGTCCCCTCACCCTGTGCCCCCCCTGTTCAGACGGTCCAGCAGCTACACCTACACGGACACCCCTCTCTACACCCAGACTGGCCCCTCCTCTTACTACGAGGCTCCACCCGCCTCGGGGGCTCAGGTGGCGGCACCAGCCACGTCACAGGCCGTACCCGTGACAGCAGGGGGCGCTGCCGTGTCCATGTTTGTGGCCAACACCACCTCGGGTACGGCCACCGCAGGCACCGTGGCCGTGGTGGCAGGAAGCACCCCCGGTGGGGCAGCGGCAGCCGCTGGGGCTGGGGGCGGGACCACAGCAGCGGGGGCGGGGGGAACCGGCGGCGGCAGCAACGGCGGCAGCGGAAGCAGCTACGTCATCCAAGGAGGGTACATGCTGAGCGGGGCCGCCGGAAACCAGAACTACTCACACAGCATCCGGGCGTCACCAGCCACGGTCAGTACGGAGGACCGCGCTGACCGCTCGCTCTGCGTGAGTGTGGAGCGCGTGCATCCCGACGAGCATGCCTGCGCATCTGCCAGGTGTTTGTTCCTGTTTGTGTGATGGCGCCCCCTGGTGCCCCCCCAGGTGCAGTGGCTGCTGGATAACTACGAGACGGCGGAGGGCGTGAGCCTGCCGCGCTCCACCCTCTACTGCCACTACCTGCTGCACTGCCAGGAGCAGAAGCAGGAGCCGGTGAACGCCGCCTCCTTCGGGAAACTCATCCGCTCCGTCTTCATGGGGCTGCGCACGCGGCGGCTGGGCACTCGGTGAGGATGCCCCGCCTAGACGCGGCCTTCGCCTCGCCAACCCGCCAAGCTCTAACCGTGTCTCTGTCCCTCCCAGGGGCAACTCCAAGTACCACTACTACGGGCTGAGGATCAAGGGCAGCTCCTCCCTGCTGCGGCTGATGGAGGACCAGCAGCACCTGGCCATGAGGCAGCAGCCTTTCTCCCAGAAGCAGAGGTGAGACGCTTTTCCTCTTGCCTCTCTGATGTCATTTATTTCCCTAATTGATGCTTTGTTTCCTGAAACGAAGTTCCTGCCTAAAGGTACAACAGCATACCAGATCGTAGACCAGCCAGTCAGCTGCACTTTGATTGACTACTACTACTACTACTATTACTACTATTATCTACTGTCTATTTTCTTCTCGGCTTCTGAAGGTTAAAGCCAGTGCAGAAAGTTGAAGGCATGACGAACGGAATGGGCCAAGGGGTGGGGCAGCAGCAGGGGGCGGGGCTTTCTGACATCAGCGCCCAGGTGCAGCAGTACCAGCAGTTTCTTGGTAAGTGAGAGATGTGAGAGGTGGAGGTGGGGATTCGCCTGAAGAGGGAGCTTAATGGCTGCTTCTCCTGTGATCAGACGCATCCCGCTCTCTGCCCGAGTTCTCGGAGATAGACCTGCAGGGCAAGGCCCTACCCGAAGGGATCATGTTGGAGCACATCAGGAGCTTCCAGCTGCTGTATCGTGAGCATTGCGAGGTAGCGTCCGACCCACGTACCCCCGAGCCCCATGGTAGCGCTGGTGGCCAGCCGTAATGTTACCTATCCTGTCCCTCTAAAGGCCATCCTGGATGTGATGATCAACCTACAGTTCACCCTGGTGGAGACCCTGTGGAAGACCTTCTGGAGGTTCAGTGAGAATCCGGCTGGTGACGTGGACCCACTCAGCGTGTGAGTCTGACTCCCCTTGGTTCCAGCTTTCTCAGGCTGCAACAGGATATGCACCAGTCACATGGCTGCACTGCCCTCTGCTGACCTGCGTGTCTCCTGCCACAGCCACGATGAATCGGAGAAGCGGCTACCCAAATCGTGTCTGGTGCTGTTGTGCAAGTACGAGCCGGTAGTGCGCTGGAGCCGCCAGTGTGACAACACACTTTACCAGAGCCTGGTGGAGATCCTCATCCCTGATGTACTGCGGCCCATCCCCAGTGAGTGTCCTGCTAACATGACAACACTGCTAATGCTAATGTCCAGCTCATACCCAGTGAGTGTCCTGCTAACATGACAACACTGCTAATGCTAATGCTAATGTCCAGCTCATCCCAATAAGAGTCCTGGTAATAGTTCACCCACCACTCATGCTAACATTGTGTCCAGTCCCATCTGCATGCAGAAAGAAATACAAACATGACAAAGTGTCTACTGTCCCGCAGGTGCCTTAACACAAGCCATCCGCAACTTTGCCAAGAGCCTGGAGAGCTGGTTGACCAATGCCATGATGAACATACCTGAGGAGATGGTTCGCATCAAGGTTAGCGGTCACCTTCCCACATTCACACGCCAAGCCAGTGCATTTGAAGAGAATAAACACACTGTTGAAGTCACATGCATGTTAGTACAATATACAGATACCCCATCCTTCCCATCCTAATTCTCCAAATTGGCGCCCCCTGTAGGTGACGTCTGCCAGTGCATTTGCGCAGACCCTGCGCCGGTATACGTCCCTCAATCACCTGGCCCAGGCAGCACGGGCAGTCCTGCAGAACACGGCGCAGATCAACCAGATGCTGAGTGACTTGAACCGTGTGGACTTCGCCAATGTGCAGGTTAGCACCCAGCCCCCCCCACACACCCCCCCATCCATGCTCCGCTGCTGCCAGAGGTACATTCTGACCTCTCTTTCCTCTCTCCCTCTAGACATCTCTCCCTGGCTCTGTCTGGAACAGGTTTCGGGGTGCGTGGGTCACGTAGTCAGTTGTAGCCGTGCGTGTGCTGGCACCCGGCTCTCCGTAGCGATAGCACCAAGGGGGCTCTCCCTGTGTCCGCGTAGGAGGGGGGGTGTAGCTAGCAGCAGCTCTGTCACCACAGCGAGCCGCCGGCTAACTCGGCGACCCTGCCGGTCTCCCCCTTTCCCCTCAAGGAGCAGGCCTCGTGGGTGTGCCGTTGTGAGGACCGGCTGGTCCAGCAACTGGAGCAGGACTTCAAGCTCACGCTGCAGCAGCAGAACTCGCTGGAGCAGTGGGCAGCCTGGCTGGATGGGGTTGTCTCCCAGGTCCTAAAGCCCTACCAGGCCAGCGCCACCTTTCCCAAGGCGGCCAAACTCTTCCTGCTCAAGTGGTCCTTCTACAGGTGAGGAACACACAGTTGGCCGGTTTTGACTGAGGTGAATCAGTGCCTTCCCACATGGATCATGCTGGGGCTTTCGGGATGGTTAAAACCCGTAGCCCCCACTGTGCCCTGATCCCTGCCTCTCCCTGTTCCTCCATGCCCTGCCCCGTCCTGGCGATGACCTTTAACCCCCAGTTCCATGGTGATCCGCGACCTGACCCTGCGCAGCGCCGCCAGCTTCGGCTCCTTCCACCTGATCCGGCTGCTGTATGACGAGTACATGTACTACCTGATAGAGCAGCGGGTGGCCCAGGCCAAGGGCGAGACGCCCATCGCCGTCATGGGGGAGGTAGGTGTCTGATGGTCTCCTGCCAGGAGGGAACATGGGCTGGGGACAGACGCAAGACACACAGCGGGTTTGAAAAGCCAGCCGGTTTAGCTCCTGGTCCTGTTTAGTGAAGGTTGGAGGCGGAGCCCAAACCTCCAGAGGCATGATGGGAAAGGTCTGCTTCATGGACTCTAATCTGGTTGTTACCCCTCCTCAGTTTGCCAGTCTGGGCAGAAGCCTGAACACACTGGATCCTGATAAAGGTATGGGTCACCTCTCTGCCAGCTCACAGCTTGCTCGCCTGCACGCTCGCCTCCCCCACTAACCATCACCCCCCCCACACACACACTCTGCTTCCCTCAGAGGAGGAAGAGGATGAGGAAGAGGATAGTGATGATGAGTGCCAGGAACTGACCCTCCCCGCTGACTCCTCTGGTCTGGGGGAGGAATCGCTGGAGCCGCCCGCCAAGCTGGCCAGAACCGACCCGAGGGGGCTCTTCAGTACCAGCCACACGGACAACTGATACACGGAGAGAGAGAGCGTGCGGGAGAGTGAGGTGCATTCACACACAGACACACACACACACAGACACACACACCTGAACTGAGATTAGTGTGTCGCGCCGGAGCCCTGCCCCAAGACGCCTGACGGAGCGAGCTGTAGGGCAAAGGGTAACCTTTCCGAAGCACTGCCTGTAGGAGGGGCCTCTCCTGTCAATCAAAGCTCTCCTTGTGTCTGTTGGTGGATTTTCTGTTTCTGAGCTGCCTGTGGGAAGGACTTCACCTGTCAATCAAAGCCATCCTGTTGTCTATTGGTGGTTTGGGATTTCCGTTCTGCCCACAGGATGGAAGGGGCCTCTCTCCTCAGAGTTGTCCTGGTGTTTGTTGGTGGTTTTGGAGCGTCTGTGCTGTGCTTGTCCATGTAAAGGCATGTGCGTGTACCCCCCGGAGCTGTATCAGTAATGGTATGTTCCAGGTGCTGCTACTATTACTTTTTAAACCTTTATCCATGTACAATAAAAAATTTCTGGTGAGGTCCGGGGGGTGATGGCAGCCTGTCTGCAGGGGCGTCCGTAGCTCTGTAAGGATGTGTGACCCCACCTGCTTATTTTTACAAATGCCCCCCATCCCTGAACAGCCTCACAGGGGCCCGAGTGACCTCACTCACCCTGTCCAAACATCTCAAAGCAGACTGATCCACCTATTGTCATTTCATTTGTTTTCTGTGCCAATCCGCTGCTCCCCAAGTCACACTTTAATAAAATGAAAGGTGTGTAGGTGGTGCGTGTGCTCTGAGGGCGTGGAGAGTGGGCGGGGCCGGTCACTTCACTAGATGCCCTCTTCACCCGCTTCCTGTCGGTCTCATTTCCATGTCTTTTGCATGAGTCACTTCCTCTCCTTGACTTCCTTCATGCCGTCGGCCTGTTCACAGACACCGAGCCGCCAGCGCCTCTAGTTTAACGGGTCACTGTCCCAGCCGCCTGTGCTGGTCTCCTGGTGTTCCCTAATGCTTCCTGACCAATTATATTTAAGTTTGTTCTGTGAACCTGACCCACCAGCTGCTGGGAAGGTTCCGGTGTGCAAGCCAACAAATTAACCGCAAAAGGCTAATAAATATCCGATCTAACAAATTGCACATTGTCAAAGATCTCATACTTTTTTAGTAGGGGCTAATGATACTGGGTTTGTGCTGAAAAGGTTGCATACTTAACGTGAACTTTAAACATGAACGTTAAACTGCAGGACAGCTCGTTGGAAGAATAACCCTCTATGTCTGTCTACAAATGTGAACTACAGAAAAACAACAGACATATATCATGCTGTTTTTTCAAATCTGACTCTTCCAGCATCTCTGTTGATTTCTGAAGCAGCACCTCAGGTATGAAGGTCATGGATACAGAATGACACAATGTCAGGAAAAACATTTGCATATGACATGAGTTTTATTGGCAGATATCCCCACACTGGTATTATGTAGGGCAGGGCTGCCCAACTCCAGTGCTGGGGGGCCAGAGCCCTGCACATTTTTGGGTTTCCCCTCATTTAACACACCTGATTCAACTCCTTGTGTTAATTACCACACAGCACTTGAGCTGAATCATTTATGGTGGAACAGGGAAAGAACTAAGCTACACAGGGCTCCCCTCGGCATAGATCGTTCCCTATGTACTACATTACCCATGAGGCTATGTTACCCAGAAGAGAGTCTCCCATTGTCCACTATCCAGGTGGCACCATTCAACCATATTATAAAATTCACCAATACCCCCAAGACTGACACCCTGGGAATCATCTGTCTTCATCTGCATCACAGGTCTGTTATCATTGTCACATAGTGGCCACCCATGTGCTCTGTGACACCACATCAGAACAGTGTTGTTGTCCTGGTCTGGTCCAGCCCTGCTCATTTCACTCGCTCCATTTGTCCAGACCAGTACCGACCCACAGAAGCACCACACTATGGGTAGCAGCTGGGCCTCGTGAGGCAGACTCCCTACTAAGCACCAAAGCACAGTGCTGCTCCACCCTTTGATGCTCAAAGCCCGGTTGTACTCCGCCCCCAGAACTCCACCTATAGCCAAACAGCCTAAGACCTTTCTGTGCATGCCAGCAAGCCACACCCCCTTAAAGATTTTACAAGTTTAGTAAATAGATGTAAAGATTTCTGTACAAATACTTTTTAAATGTAATTACTAGAGAGAACATATATTGATTTAACCTTGTCTGCTGTTGCTTTGCTTTTGTACACGTTGAACCGTCATGGCCTTATTTAAAATGGTAGTGTAGCAATTCAGATGTATTTACTATGTATTTAGCTCTCGTTCTGGTATTTAATACACTGTCGTTTTGAATTGCAGAATTTGTAGAAAAATGCCGTGTTTGGACTAAAAAGTTTTTGTAATCTGCTGTCCACCAACAACAAGCACTAAGACCTTCCTGTCTGCCCTGTCAAGCTTCAACGGAAAAAATGACAAACGCTGGGCTTGAAAGTGCTTGTCGTTTATTTTTGGGGGAAAAAAAAAACACTTTTCTAACTCAACTTTACACTTTGGAAGTATCACATCTCCTCTTAGAAAAAAAAGAATTAAATGACCTGAAAACTCTCCTTTTCTGTCATTTCTCTAAACCAACTGAAAAAACAAACTAATTAAAAAGTTAAATGCTGATGAGCCAGCAGACGCAAACAGCCCCCTCACTCTCAGTTACACCCATTTTGGAACAGTGGGGGAGGGCAGAGAATTGATGGACAGGACAAAATGAGTCAATCATTTTAATAATAAAAAATACCAACAACAGGTGAAGTGAGACACCCTCGGGCCGACGGCGTCGAAGCAGCCAGACGGCACAAAAGCAAACGAACGGGGGACGCGTCACCCAGAGCCAAAGCCCGATCCACGGAGGCTCATGGGAAATGAACATCAAGTGAACCCAGAGACACGGTCATGGTGTCCAACTCACCGAAGGCTTCCAGCCACCAACGACCCCCATACTGCCATTGAGGCAGGGGGCGCAAAGCCATTGTTCATTCCAGCTCTGATTCAGGTACATTCCTGGTCCTACTTACAATACACAGCGAGCTATGACTACTGAGAAATGCACTTAATGTCAGTTATGGGGTCATTAACAGCGGCGACTGCTGTTGTCGGCCAAACAGGCTGTCAATAAGAACAGGGCCTGTCTGTCTCTGGGCCCCTCACAGGATGATCCAGGTCCCACGATCGCTGTCTGCCAGCACCTGCAGAGACGAGCCTGAAAGGGGCAAGGAGGCGGATGCTGAGGGGAAAGGCGCATACACAGACACACACCCACGCATGCACGCACACAAACACACACACACACCCACGCATGCACGTACACAAACACCCACGCATGCACGTACACAAACACACACACCCACGCATGCACGTACACAAACACACACACCCACACCCACGCATGCACGTACACAAACACACACACCCACACCCACGCATGCACGTACACAAACACACACACACATACACATGCACGTACACACACACATACACATGCACGTACACAAACACATACACATGCACGTACACAAACACACATACACATGCACGTACACAAACACACATACACATGCACGTACACAAACACACACACACACACACCCACGCATGCACGTACACAAACACACACACACCCACGCATGCACGTACACAAACACCCCCACGCACACACACCCATGCATGCACGCACACAAACACACACACACCCACGCATGCACGCACACAAAAACACACACACACGCACACACTCTCTGTTCCCACCTTTATGCAGGGCCTCGTTGGTCATGCGGTTGATGTATCGGGAACTGCTTTCCGGAACCAGCCACTTCATCACTGTGTTCACACATGACTTCCTGTAGGAGCTCCACACACTGCCACTGCAGACATATACGCACACACACAGTAAGAGAAAGACGTTCATAAAGCAAAGGGGTAAAGCCACGATTCACCATGGGGCCAGTAACATGAAGCTGACCCCCACGTCTAATTCTGCACTTACAGCCCAGAGCCCAGTGCATCGAGCCGGTTTGCCTTATAGAGGCTGATATCTACTTCTGTGTGGAACTGACGCTCTAAGTACGGCATACCTGCATACCGGTATCTATGCTGTAGCCTGACCAGAAATGTAACTACACGTTGTGGAGATGCAGACCACAACAACTGTGATTGGTCTGCTTGGTAGCATTGCAATTTTTGCTTTTGGTTGTTTCCAGCTGGGGGAATTTTAGTGTGGAACGAATCGCATTTAGTTTGCTGTTTCTGCTATGGTTGCAGCCATTCATGCTAGGGCTACACGATAATTGGAAAATTTCAGATGTCGCGATGTGAGTGTTTTACGATAAATATCCTGCTATTTATACAGCAAAAGGAGTTCAAAATATCTTTTTCATGTTTCAACGAAACTTAAACCCCCCGAACTCTGCCAACTAGTGTTTTGTCGGTGTAACTGCAGAGCGACACAGACACACCAGCGCACAGGTATTAATGTTCGCAGTGGTATTGGCCACTTGTACAGGCTTGACGCAGAAGCAGAAATCAGTGTTTAGTGGTGTTGCTGAAGACCCATAAACGAGGAAGGGCTGTCACCAAAAAGGTGGTGGGAGCTGACCTGGTCTGACCCTTGACCTCGGTGAGGTCCCCGATGCCCACCGTGTGACACACACCGGTGCTCAGGTCCCAGCTCACCTGCACGCTGCTGTGGTAGGTGTTGGGCCTGCCGGCACAGACAGCACAGGACTATGAGGCCGACAGGGAGGCCACACTCGCACTGCACACTGCTTACCATCAGTATGAGAAACACGCACGCAGTAACACCAGTGAGCCCGGCTGAAATTCTATAGGCAAAACAAACTTACATATTTTACAGGAAATTAAAATGGAGAGGGAGTTAAAAAATTAATAAATGCCAGCGGTTAGTAGTACCAGCACAGTAGGGTGTCGTGTCATCTCCCTCACTAGAGGGCAGCAGTGCTCTCAACAGCAGAGGGACCATTTCCTCCTCTCATATCACTGCTGGATCTATGCTTCTATCCTCTGTGTAGAGTATGGACAGTGCCACCAGGTGGCGCCTCACCTGCAGTGCTCCTCCTCAGGGGTGGAGAAGGCCAGCAGCAGAAGGCCGATATTCATCACCACCACATTGGTCTCCGGACACACCTGTCACAGATGGATAAGAGTGACAATTTGGGGGCACTGTGGTGCCAAAAGTCAGAGGACCTCCCTACCGACTGGACGTTTCGTACGGGAAAAAGGGGCCTAAACACCGAGGGAACATGGTCCTGCACACGGAGCCCAGAGCATGGGCGTGACCACTGCATTTCACGAGTGAGCCAGCAGGGGGCTCCACACACCACTGGCACATGTCCAGGGTGCTCTGGGTGGGCGGGACTCAGCCTCACCTCCAGGATGACCACGTCGTAGTCGCTGAAGGAGCAGAACTGCGCAGCCCATGCAGCGTCGTTGCGGATCACCTCGTTGATGACATACTCAAAGTCCAGGGTTAGCTGCTCTACACACACACACGGCTGGGGGTTGTGGGGGGGGGGGGACACATTAAGCTGGACAGTCTTCACAAACAAAAGCCTCAGGCTGACTATTCCTCCCAACAGTGCATGTGTATTTTTGGTCTCCATTTTGCTGGCAGTGTATCGGTGCTGTACGCACCCGACCGCTCTGTGGCCCAGTCACCAGCTGCAGGCCACGGCCCTTCACGTCGCTCACGGTGAAGGGAAGCTGCACCTTGTCGTCCTCATACTCAGACGGAGCTGCAGACAGAGCGGGATCGATGGAGATGAACAGAGCCATTACCCACAAGACACCTCTTCAGAGATTCACTGCTTTTATGATTTCAGAATAAAAGCTTCATTATGGTCAGATTACAGTTTTAGCAATGGCTTGTGATGTGTCCAGATTCACTCGGTAGGCGGCATCAGATTTGTCTCAAGTACTTATCCATAACTTACCAAACAAAATACAAGCCTTCTGGGTATTTTAGTTTTTTGATTGCAGTCACAGATTTTTATAAAACTGAGGTTTTCCTTGTGGGGCCCAGAAAAATGGTCCCCAAGGTAAAAAGTTACAGGTTTATTTGGGAAATCTGCTCCCCACAATGTAAGAATTACAAAGATGCTGCAGTGCTGCCCCCCCGAGGTACAGGCCACCTCTGTGTGCCCCCACAGGGGCCCAGACTCACCGTGCTCCTGCTCCGGGATGCCTGGCAGCTGCAGACAGTATTTGTGACGAGTGTAGTTAATGTAGCCTGGCTCAGAGGAGGAGGGGTCCTGGCTGGAGGGTGGGGATCGAGGTGAAGAGGACGATGCCGACGACGGGGACATTACTGTATCGCTGGGTCCCGGCTGGCGCCCCCTGGAGGGGGAGTGGTGCCCAGGACAGAGCTCAGCACCCCCCCGTGACCCTACCCCCAGCCCATCCCGCTCCCTCCCCTGCACCCTCCTAAAAATGTCTGCTGCAAACTCCCTGGCCCGGGCGGCGGCCTGCGATTGGTCGGCCGCAGGAGGGGAGGGGCCTGGCTGGCTGTCAGGAGAAGCTTGGGAGGAAGACGGGGAGGATGCGGTGAGGACTGTGGGCACAGGGGAATTTGTCCCAGGGCAGGAAGCTCTCTTTTTGTACAGGATCTGGCCTGTCTGATCCGGTTCCCCTTCTGGGGAGACAGAAAAACAGAGGAGTTATCCTCCAAACAGCCAGCGCATGAACGTGGGCGAAGCACCGGGACGGATGTGCGGCATCACCTGGGCAGAAGGACACGGCGCAGGCCACCAGCGAGTAGCTGGTGTTCAGTAGGACCACCTGGTCCTTCTTCAGCTGGAAGGCGGGCTGGAAGGTGGGGAAGGGGTACACCACCTGGTAGCGGGAGTTCAGCACGTAACCATGTTCCAGACACTCCAGGCCTCCTGGAGCCAGGTGGAGGGTGGTGGGCGATGGGAGCCGGGCAGAGAGGAGGTACCTGTGCCAGGGGCGGGGGAGCTGCACTGTGTGCAGGGCCGGGATGGGGGCATGGAGGCCACGGTGATGTAGATGTCCCTGTTATTCTCATCACTCATCATGAGGTTCATCAGGACGGAACTGGAGCTGCGTGTGCTGAGTCAGAGACAAGTGTGAGGGGAAAGAAACACCTGAAAAGGTCCCTTTTGACCTTGAAAAGGGGCACCTGTGCACCTCCCCACACCAGCACCCCCCTGTTGCAGGCAAGGTGGCTGACCCCATCGCTGCCTGCTCCGGAAAAGGTCTTACATCTGTAACTTTCCCTCTCCTAAGTTTCCTCTGAGGGTAAGAATCATTTCTGTAGTTTTGCAACAAATTCCTATTTTTTCCATACATCTTTGCCACATAGCAAACAGGGTTTAGCAACCTTTAGGAGCACAGCTGCTTCATCATAAACTATCTGAAGGGGAAGAAAATGAACAGCAATGCTCCATGCTCCTTAGCCACTGTGCCACCTGCTGCCAGGAATGTGAATGAGCAGTGGCCTGGGCACTCACTTGAAGCCGAAGATGACTATCTTGGAGTGGTCATGGGGCCACTCGCACACAGTGAGGTAGAGCTCGCTGTAGATGTCCTCTCCCGCGAACAGCCGGACGTGCCTCACCTGTTTTTTTTGTGGGGGGGGGGGGGGGTACACAGACATCAGCAGGGCCAGAAGTGGGCTGGAGGCAGAGCCCACCCCCAGGAGTTCACGGCCACACAGCCTACCTGTTTGAGCCGGCTGTGCAGGTTGAACTCCCACCAGTAGAGGTGGTAGATGTAGAAAGAGAAGTCATCGTCCTCCCCGCAGTCGCTGGTGTAAGACAGCACGTAGCGGCCACACTTGGTGAAGCCCAGGAAGATGTGACTGTGTGGCAAACACACGCATGTTTCTGCAGGGCTCGGAGAGGAGGGAGGTTTGCCCCCCCCCCCCAGAGAGCCAAAGGGACAGGGGGCAGCTACGAGGGACTCACCCTGCCCTGAGAAACTCCTCACTCACTATGTTCTTGAGGGGCACACAGACCCGAGGAGGAAGCTTCCGGAACAGCCGCTGGGACACCTGACCGGACAGCTGTTTCCCAAAAAAGACACAGCGTGAGATTCCACCGCAGGGGGGGGGGGGTTAGGGGAACGGCCGGCTGAGCACAGGACCGTCAGGTGATGTTTCTGCTAATGCAAATGAAGGATGGAGCAGCTCACGGGTATGAAACACATGGGCCCAGAGAGTGATGCTGAGCCAGTGGTGGTGAAGGGACCACTTTAACTAACCCCCACCACTAACCAGCCAGAGATGCCGGTTCACTGAAGAATGGGCATGGGTTCACCACGGTTCGGGCTGTAACCGATCCGACGTATTATAGCGGAACAAGGAAACGTGAGAATGACAAAGGTGACTGACGTACACCCCATTTTCACACACTAATCCTGACGGCAAAACGGACAAACCGCCTAAGTGGCTCTGTCACTGGTTTGAGTGCTTCGTCAACTGGGTGGCGTTCAACTAACCTGCCACCACTACTGCTACATTAAACCCACCGAGCAGTAATTCGTCGAATTCGTGCTTTTTTCGGAAATGGCCGTCCCGTGCTGGTTAGCTTAGCATCACAGAGCCGAGCGCGAGACGGAGCCATAGCGGGCTAGCTAACCTGAAAGTAGCCCCGCTGACCGCCCCTAACTTCAGATTATCGTAAGCAACTCACGGCAGCTCATAGAACAGAGGAAATGGCTCGTTCGCCGTTTACCTTGCTGCGATTGAGGAGTTTGACGATATGTTCTTTGTGTTTTCTCTGTGATTTCTGTTTGTTTTCGTCCTTTTCTGATTTCGAGCTGGGCGCCATTTTCCGCCGCTGAGGACTCTTTCGGTTGCACCCGCCCTGACTTCCAAGCGGTTTCTCCCATTGGCTGAAGCCGCTATTTCGATATCACCAATTCGCTGGAACAGTCGTCAATTAAAGCAAAGCACGGTGGCCCATGCGACGCGACCCGCGCTTATGATTGGCTGTGGCGTGTAGGGCGCTTCCTAGGGCCGCCCCCCGTTTCGTAGCAGGACTCTGCCGGTCCCATGCACGCGGCTTTCTAAGGAGACCTTGTGATGAGCTTTTCCGTATAGGCAACCGAGCGAGAAACTAGATACGAATAAGTCGGTGCAATCCTGAACAGCGTGCATTTGCCCCTCTTAAATTTCTTTCACCACCACCTTATGAACAACGCACGCATAGCTTAACCTTGGTTCCTAGGCCCCGTTAGTGGCACGTGTCTAAATCAAGAAAAGACTGCTTCACAAAACCACATTTACACCCAATGTAACCATGAAACTTTTTGATTTGGCCTGAGGATATTTCCCTCAGTGACCCAAGCAAGCGACATGCTGCATCCCTCACTGTCCGTACTCTGGAGGTGGATCAGGACGAGGTACACCTCAGCAAGCAAGCACACAGAGACAGGGGTGCATTCAGGGCAAGGGGGAGAGTGTGTGAGATGCTGGGTATCATCTTTTATTGTGAAGTTTTTAAAAACAAGCAGTAAAAACCAGGTGTACAACATAACATGACTCCTTGAGACAGGGAAGGGTAGGGCGTCCAAAACAAAACATTCAGGCCGGGCATTACAACGATCAAAGCAGAAGGCAGCGTACCCACGTCAACCGGGCCAAGGCGAGGCAGCGCCGGAGACAGACACACACACACACACACACACACCCTGGGACAGAGGAAAACCAACACCAGCCACAGAGATGTGGGAGGTGGGACAAACTAAAAATCATGTCAAAAGGGCTTGAGCAGGTGCTAAGTCAGTACTGGGAATGTTCCATCTTAAAACAAAACCGTCTACAGCAGACAGACAACCCCCCCCCTCAATGAGCGACAAAACCAGGCGGGTCTCAGCGCCTCACAGACCGGGTCTCACGAAAACAAGAGTGCGAGTCCATCGGGGGCGGGTCCACGTCAGCCAGTGGGCAGGGACATCCTTTATTTCAGGTGATATGGGGGAGGGGGAGAAAGTGAATGGGGTTTATAGCGCTGATTTCACTGTTCATCGGGAAGGACGGGGGGGGGGGGCAGCCTTTCCGCTCGGCGTCCGTCAGAATCCAACAAAAAAACAAACTTAAAAAATGAATGTCCAAACAGCTCGCTGGGTTCGCAGGGCGAGGCTCCGACTTCAAGGCCGGCTCAGGGGGCGTCACTGCGTCTGCAAGGAAGGCGGCGGTCAGAGCCACACACTAGCGCCCCCCACCCGACACCACCACCGCGCCGGCTTGCGGGCTCCGTACCTGCTGTCCCTGCTGGGGGGCGGTCGGCTGGGGGGCGCCCTGGCCTGGCTGTCCGTAATAAGCAGCCTGCTGTCTGTAGTACTCGGCCCAGGCTGCACTGTAGTCCGGCTGGGCGCCGGCCGGCGCGGGGGAGGCTGCTGTGCCTCCGGTCTGAGCTGGAGGGGGGGACAGATAGGCTGGTGAGGGTGCCGTCCGGGGGACAGCAGCAAGACAGACCCTCAGTGGCCCGCGAGGGCACACCATCCCTTACCCATTTTCTTGTAGTACTCCTCCCAGGCTTTGGTGTAGTCGGGTTGGCCTCCCGGCCCCGCGGCACCCTGGGATTGGTCGGCAGGGGCCGGCGCCCCAGCGGGGGCGGAGGGGGCCGGACTGGGCATGGCACCGCCGCCAGGCTGCTGGTAGTACTGCGCGTAGTAGGCAGCCCAGGCGGCGTTGGGGTCAGCCACCTTGCCTGCAACGGGGGTGGGGGTGCTGGTGAGGGGAGGTGCGCAGGTGCCCCTATTCAAGGTCAAAGCACGTTGGTTTGGGCACTCACTGGGGTCGTGGGGTGCAGGCGGCTGCCACTGTTGGTACGCGTTTCCCCAGCCCTGGGGGGCGTACTGATGGCCTCCGGGGGGGCCGCCACTATGAGGAAAATGAGAGAGCATGGATTTAGCAAACTGAACACACCACACACAGAGAACACATGGCACACACTAAGGGAGACGGGCCCTGGGTGCTCACTGTGGGGGGGCGCCCGGAGGGCCCGGGCTGTAGGGATTGGGGGTGTAGGGGCCCATGGGGCCAGCTGGGCCGGGGCCTCCGGGACCTGGGCCCATCGGACACAAAGGACCCTGTAAAGAGCAGGAGGAGACGTCAGAGAGCTGGGAGGGAGGGAGGGGGGCTTGGGGGGCTTGACACTGACACACCCAGACAGACCTCGATCTTCTCCTCGATCAGCTGCTTGGCGTGGTCGATCTGCTGCGGGGAGCCGCGGATGACAAACAGCTTGTAGCCGGGGTCGCCGTTGGGGTGCGGCTGGCGGGAGATCTCCACGAAGGCCCCCGTCTGCTGGTTGATGGCCTTCACATTCTCGCCCCCCCGTCCGATGACCAGGCCGCACTTGTGGCTGGGAATGGAGAAGGTGACCTCCCCACCAGGGGGCCCCCAATTGCCTTGGCCACGTCCCCAACCCCTGCCCCCCGGGGGCATTCCTGCACCTGGAGGCCCGGGGGGGCCCTGTGGAGCACAGGACGACATGATGAGATCCAACATAATCAGCAGCACTGAACACTGCTGCGCAGGCACACCGGTGTTTCCCTCCATTTAATATACTATCATCTATCCCATAATGCAGTGGGGTAAACACACCCAGCAAGGCATTCTGGGACACCACTGTCTCTGCCAACCCATGCTGGCTATATAGTGTCTTACCCAACAATTGTCCCTAAAGTGCTGAATGATTAAAAGTGAAAGGGGAGCAGCTTGTTGGCCCCACCTCCACAAAGACCCACCCCCTGGCCCTCCTCTCGAACCCGGATGCTCTGCACCAGGTCGTTGATGATGCTGGCGGCGTGCTCGCACCGCTCCGGGGGGCCCATGATGTGTGCCACCTTGTCTGGCCCCTGGCCATCGTCTGGAACGGCAATAGGACGGGTGAGAGAGGGCTAACGACGCCGTTAAAGAGGGTAAGAAAGGGCCCATTCTGACAATTCAGTTATGAATCACCGGCAGTACAGAGAGCGCAGTGCCTTATGATCATTCTGCAAAGCATCACTGCTTTATACGGGCTACTCTACCAGCTGTGGTGGGTACCTGGTTTGAACTGTATCCTGACTCCAGCATCATTCTGGATCTTCTTGATCATCTCACCATTACGACCGATCACAACTCCCACTGAGTGCCGAGGGACAGGAATCTGGGTGGAGCAGAAGGCTGGGGTGAGGAGTGTGGTCAGTGGGAGGAAGAGAGGGAGAGTGGACAGGAGAAAGGGAGAGAGTAGGTGGAAGAGGGAGGGAGGGGGAGGGAAAAATACAGAGGGAAGGAGAAGAGGAGGACAGGAAAGAGGGAGGAGAGAGGGCATGTTGGCCAGTGGGGGGAGGAAGGGCAACTGACCAGATGTGATGGAACCACACACACACACACGCACACAAGCCCTCTAAGCTCACCGAGCTATAAAACGCACACACGGAATAGCGGCACACTCACGTCCATGCCACCGCCGCCGCCGCCACCACCGCCACCGCCACCCATGCGTGAGCCGTACTCGTTCCTGTCCCCAAAGCCAGGGTGGTCCCTCTCCCGCAGAATCTCCTGGACCAGCTCCCGGGCTTGCTGTGCACATGGGAGGAGGGGTTATATGGGGGCACTCTGTCATCCGGCATGTAGACACACTGATGAGTGACCGGCAGCAGCAGATGGGGGAGCGCGGGTGAGCGGGCGATCGAGCAGGTGGGCGGGACTCCGTGCCGTCAGTCACCCCTCTGTGAAGCAATACCTGGATCTTGTACGGCTCCCCGATGATGCGCAAGGGCTTGTCCACATTGGGCCCCTGGGACCCATCCTGGATGAGAATCATTTTCACACCAGCGCGCTCCTGAAAAGTGGGAAGGGGTCAGAATCCAGGCTGAGAGCCCATAAGCCAAAGCCCAGTGGGACTTGGGAGTAGAAACCTCTGATCAGTGTTGGGTTAAAACAGTGTTTCCCTACAGTCCCCAGGACCCCCAGTTTAGGACAGGGTAATTACTCGAAAATGAATCAAAACCAAAAATCAGAACCTCTAATCTACATAATCTTGCCCATTTCAGTCACTTTATTTTTTTAATTCTGTTAATACTTTCCCCAGTGTGTATTCCTGTACTGTCCCCTTAAAAACATGTCATGTCATGTGACTCCACCCCATCCAATCTGCAGCATGGAAGCAAAATGGAGGAGAACTCAAACACCGAGCCGACTGAGCAACTCAAACAGCTTGTACCAAAGAAAAATTCTGTGTCCGTCACTTGGACACATTATGGCTTTAGTGAAGATGACACCAAACAAATAGTAGTCAAATTTAAACACTGCAGGAAAAGCGTTTCAGCGGCCAATGGGAATGCCACCAGTCTGTATCAACACTTGGAGCACAATCATGTCACAGAATATGAACAGTGCATGGCTCAGAAAAACCAGCAACAAGTGCCTGCACAGTGCAGTTGTCTAACAAGCATGTACAAATGCTACACAATATGAAAAGGATTTACAGTCAAACCTCGGATTGCAAGTAACTTGCTGTGAGTGTTTTGCAAGACGAGCAAAAACTTTAAATAAATTTTAACTTGATAAACGACCGAGATCTTGCAATACGAGTATCACGTACAGTAAAACCGGTCTAAGTCGACACTCGCGGGACCAGCTTAAAAGTGACGACCTAGAGAATTGACGAGATACACCTAAGTCGACACTTTGGCGACTTATGTCTATCTCGCCGTTTTGTCGACTAGTAAATATAACTCGCCGTTTTGCCGACTTATAAAATCGACACTTCGGCGACTTATGTCTATCTCGCCGTTTTGCCGACTAGTAAATATAACACCATACCTCTACTACACCGCACTATACACGTGAGACTTAAGACCAGGGAGCGACTAGTGCGATAGGTGGGGATTCCCCATTTCTACATTGCCGTGGTGACAAGCAGGCGGCGGGAATACAGCGACTGGGGTGTCGACTTACAGGTAGGAAAATCCTGTATCCTTTGTGTTGTTCGGGACCGGGATTTAGGTGACGACTAAGGGAATTTGACGACTTACAAGCGGCGAGTTACACAAGGAATTTTAAAGGAAACATCATCAGGAAAAATCGGGACTTTTGCTTGAGCGTCGACTTGTGCACATTGACGAGTTACAAGACGGCGACTTAGACCAGTTTTACTGTATACGCTTTGTCCGCCGAGCGTCACGTAATCACAACTGAGCCGATGATTCTCTTGCTGCGGGATTGTGGGTAATTGTCTCATGCTTGGTCTCAGTCGACGTCCCTCACTCATATAGTGAAAATTTAGTAGAAAAGCAGCACCCGAATAAGGGCGTAGCAGTGAGAGCGATGAATCTTTAATGACAATGCAATGTCACATTTCCGCAAAACCGAAAAGGAGGCAAAAGCGGCTGTCATTGGATAGGTTCCTTGTTAAAGTCGCACAAAAAGAAAAAGATTCCAGTGAGCCGACAGATAGCAGTGATTCTGTTAGTTATAGTGAGTCGTCCTACAAAATTGTTTTACATTGGAACTAAAATGTAACCTTTTTCATAAAGCATTTTCATTTCAAGCAATGTGTTCTTTGATTTCAGTTGTTTGAAATTCAATAAATAACCACAAATAGTTAATCTGTGTGCGTTTCCTTCAATTATTTGAAAATCACAAAGATCTCATTAGAAAAAGAAAAATCCCAGCTGTAAGAGTTGAGGATTTTTACAGCACAAACCTTATCAGTGAACTATGAGGGCAAAAAACAAACCCAAAAACAAAATAATCGTTCATTAATCGTAATTGAGGTTAAAAAGTTCAGCTAACAGTGATATTGATTTGAGGTCACATTGCCCAGCCCAACTCTAATGCGCCACATTTTTGTTCCCTCTCAGGCCCCATCACCTCTCTACCAGGTATTTATGTTCTTGACTGTGATTCATTCCTGATTGATTGGTCCAGGTGTGCTGGAAGTGGGGAGGAGCAAAATGTAGACTGCCGGTGAGTTCCAGAGGACTGGGTTGAGAAACGGTGGATTAAATGAATGGGCTTCCCTTATTCAGGTCCATAGACCCCAAAAAACAGAGGCAGTCACCTCAGAACCTGAGTTGTCCCTCACTGACTGACGGCACGTTTATGCCGGAGGCCAGCGGCTCACGACGCGAGCGAGGCGTACCTGCAGCTGCTTGATGGTCTCCCCGCCCTTGCCGATGATCAGCCCCGCCTTGCCGGCTGGGATCATCATCTCCTGCATGGAGCCACTCTGGCCGTTGGTGGATTCGTAGAAGGCAGAGGGGGGCGTGCCCCTCCCCCGCGACACGATCTCGTCCAGGAGCATCTTGGCCTTCCTGCGGGTCGGGCCGAGACCGTTGGAAAAGGCACCGAGGCCCCGGAAAGGGACATGGGACGCAGCACGGTACTTACTCTATGGCGTCAGGTGACCCCGTGAGCGCGACGTTTCTTTCCGGAAGACCTCCGCTTTCTGGGAACAGGGGCGAGAGGTTAGCTGACACGCCACAGTTCAGCAGAGTGAGGCATTATCACATAAAAGAACCAGAGCACCCTGAAGGCAGGGCAGACTGAAGACCCACCTGGGGCGATCTGCACCTTGCAGCCGGAATCCTGCTGAATCTTGTTAATTTGCTCGCCACCCCGGCCGATGACTGAGGAAAGAGCAGATGATAGGGGGTGATCACGCTATGAGCCCCTCCCCTGGCAACTTACAGAGCAGATCAACTACTTCTACAGCAGCGCCACAAAGCGTGGCTCTCCACCCAGCAAGGGGAGGCCGGCGATTACACTGCCGTCTGCTTAAAGCAGAGCGGCTGGACATAAATAACAATTAATAAAATTACGCTTCCTAAGAAAGAAATTGCGCAAATTCTAAAAATCCACTTTGAATTTAATGAAACCAGAGAAAAACAACCAGCAGTCAGACAGAAAAGGATGGCTTGGCAAGCAAGTGTGACTACTGTACTCATCGCGTACTCATGCTCTACTTACTCAGGCCAACCATGCTGTCCGGCACTTTGTGCTCCTCTGTCAGGGTGGCCGGCCTGAAATGAAGCAAAACAAATGAGAAGCATGGCTGACATCAGGCACAGCAGGCTTGTAATCACGCTCACAGCGAGCCGGGGGATACAGGAATGTGAGCTAAATGTCCGCCACCACTCCGATAGTGGAATGAAATCTGCTTCAGATCAACTTAATCTTGAATTAATCTGCACCTTAATCATTAAGTACCACAAAGTGTGACACAAATGAGCAGATTCAAGAGGAGTGCTGCAGTCGGCAAAGGCGGAGCTTCTGAGCCTCTGATGACCCCCAATGACCTCTCAGGTAGGAACGTGAAAGAGTGTGGGAAAAGGAGGAGTGTGAAAAAGAAGGAGTGTGAAAAAGCAGGAGGGCTGGGATCCTACCTCTGAGACATGGCGGCCAACTGGGCTCCGATGGCTGAAAGGGGACAGAGGGGACACGGGTCCAGTTACTGACATGAGGGCCAAACACATGAAAAAGTTGTGGAAAGCGGTCAGTCTGTACATAGGTACAGGGCACGGTGAAGATATTTACACAAGGAGGAAGAGTCCCGGTCAATCTGGGGGGCCATTTTCTTGCTGTCTGGCTGCTCTGAAGGAAATAAGAGACATAAGTTCCAGTTAGTAGAGAAGGCCATTATGAGACCACAGAGAGACTGCAGGCACAGACTGGAAAGTGATAGAGCATACACACCACCTACGACAGAATCTGAGAATTTTAGAGCCGTCTGCGTTTGGTCCAGCTGCCTTCAAGACAGATGGTTCTCCGCTAGAAAGTGATGCGATACATCACCCAGGGCTGCGGGCTCTTAAACTCCTAAAGCTGCCGACAGACGCGGTGCCGCGGGTATGGTGCTCTTACCTGCATCCTCCAGCTGGCGTTTCTGAGGTGCGAACGGGAAGCTCTCGGTAGCGCCGCCGCCGCCGCCGCCGCCGCCTCCACTGCTGCTGTTCAGCGGTGCTCCGGCAGTATCCCCGCCGATCTTCGCTGCGATCTGGGGGCACAGGAGCAAAGCCGGGAGTCACAACGAGGCGTGGGGGGCAACAGAGCTCCCGGAAGCTGTCCAGGAACCGCCGAGCCCCATTCCAGGGGATCAGGAACCCTTCTAAGTAACCGGTTCATTCAACATAAATAGAAGTACCAAGCAGACAGCGCTTGTGCGGTTAACGAAGCAGACAGGTGTCTTGGACCGGCAAAAGAGCAGCCCAGCATCCCGACGCGCTAAACGCCGCACAAGCGCTATATATTTGGGAGAAACGCGATTATATACCATACCACACCAAACACAACCCAGGCCCGAACACACGTGACGCCGGGACCTGCCAGCGCACCCAGCGTGGACCCGCAAGCGGGATGCGATGCGGCAGCTTTTAAAGCGCCAAGCTGCATGTACGGTCTCCCCTTCATAAAAGCCTCCACACTCCCCAGTCGCCCGTGCAAACATGCCGGTACAAGCGCAGGCCTGCAGGCGAGCAAAGGGCCAGCAGATCGTCCCACTTAAACAAAACTAGCAACACCTCGGTAAGCACGAACTGCGCGGGAGGCACTCGGCCAAGGAGCCAGTAGCGGAGAGACCAGCAAAGGGCGGTGGAGGCCCGTCGGTCCGGCAGCACGGATCCACGTTGGCCCGCGTGCTCATTTTCCCGCGTTACCGCGCCAATCTGGCCGCTCTGAGCTATAGCCACGGCCCGGAGGCGGCGGGACACACGCTGTCCCCATTGATCTCCGGATGCTACAGCAGCGCCGCTCCGCGTTCCCCACGCGAAGCCGCCTGCAGCCGTGGTCTCTCACCTGGCGGGCCCGCTGTACAGCGTCCGCGAACGCGTCCTTCTTGAGGCCGCCACCGCCTGCGCCAAGGGGCGCTCCGGCCCCGGGTGGCGGTACCGAACTGTATTCCGACATGATGGGCTCGCTGAGAGAGCGGGGAGGGGGAGGCAGTGTAGGCCGGGCCCTGCTGCGCAGAAGCGGGAAACCAGGAAAGGTGAAGCGCGGGGCGGAACCAGGAAGCTGCGACAGAGGGTTGGGGGGCGGGATCCCGGCTCCGAGGATCTGTGCGCTTATCATTTCCGGTTTCGTCACCCAATCAAAAAATCGGTAGACAAAGCCAATAGGAACTCGGTCGAGAGATCCCTAGCTCAGTTTCTGGCCTATGGTAGCAAGTCCAAAGTCCGGAATAGCCAAATCAATTGATTGTACACTGTTGGCGGTGTCAAGGCTGCCAATCGAATTTGATTAAATATTTGACAGACTGAGATTTTAGCCAATGGCTACCAAGACGCGTCAAGGCGCCTGAAGTTACTGGCAAAAACAAAGCGATGACGATTTAATGCTGTTGAAAAAATACTGCTAACCAGTTTGCAGCGCGCATGTGCATTAATGCACGACATTACGTCATGTTTCGCATAATTTTGGGGGTCAGGTGGAACTGGAGTTTTTCCTTTATCAATTAATCTTTCACAAAGTACTTTGTCGTTGTCATCGAATCGTGTGAAGGTTCTGCTTTAATTTAGAACTTAACCGAACTTACGCAATATTACTTTTTGCTAAGCTCGACCTAAACCTTGATAAAATTAAAAATGAAGTGGAATTTTAGGCATGTTAAAGCCTTCGCGATCCGACCTTCCAGTTGTAGAGAAGAGTATCCCTCAACTTAATAGCGAAACATCTCAGAGTTTTACACCATCTAAACCATCAATAGGAGGGCTTGGCTGTTATGCCAGAGGAGGAAAAGACGTCTGTCCTAAGAAGAGATGTTGGAATACCACGTTTACCCTTGATAGATTCCAATAACAATAAGTCAGCTATCCGTATGGCCGTGTACTGGACTTTGAGACACAACAACGTTTCCTGGGAAGTGCACTGACAGCATTGTATACAGTGATTTTGGTGCCAACGATGTCTGAACGGTTTTATATTAAGTTTATGGTGCTGCTTAAGAATATGACTTCGGTTTTGCCAGATTGGCTCCAGTTTCTGAGATATTTAATACTTAATTAATTAATTAACGCAACACGTTTGAAAAGCATTAAGAATTGCAAGAATATTTTTTATTTTAGTTACAACTAGTAAGTAAACAGTCTAACATCATAAAAAAAGAAATTAAAAATATCTAACAGTGACAGGAAAAAGTTATGTATGATTTGACTAATTAATACATTACTTAGTTATTAATTGTTATTAATGTCAATGCTTTAAAAAAGTACCGTGGCTGGTTGAAAAAGACGACTAATGTCTACGAAGCGCGATGCGACCTTTGTAAAAAAGTCATAAAACTGGCAACAATGGGCTCTAAAGCCACCGACTCACATATCAGGGGAGAGAAGCACAAGCGTTTTGTCGACAGTCGGACAACAACTGTCCCCATTCTGGGACAGTTCATGCTGGGACACAATTAGTAATTGTAGGAAGTTGTGACCTACATACCCTTCACAATTCATTCAAGACTGGTTTTGAAGTGTGGATGGTGGAGAAAGTTCTCAAAGCACTACATTTTCTTTTCCACTCTGCACCAGCCAGAAGAGAGGACTTCACAGCTGCAACATCATCCTCAAGTTTTCCTCTACCTTTCTGTGGCCATCGGTGGCTCGAATATTTGCCAGCTGTCGAACGAGCATTGGAAGTCTGGCCCTCTATCGTGAAATATGTGGACCTGGTGAAGTCAGAAAAAGTGAAAAACCCAGGGACGTCTTCTTTTGACTGCATTTGTGAAGCCCGAATGGATCCCCTTCTTCTGGCCAAGCTACATTTTTTCATGGCCCTATCACGAGCATTTCAATCATTTCTGGCTAAATACCAGACAGGTGTTCCCATGATGCCCTTCCTTTGGAAGGACTTGGCAGATTTGATCTGGGTAAATATTCACCACCACAGTAACAACAGCAATAAATGAACAGGCAAACACGCACATGTGAACTTAACTATAATTTTATTTTCAGACTCTCCTTCAATGCTTCATCATTCATTTCATTACCTAAGACACTGTTAAAGAGTCAAAAGACAGACCAAAAGCTATTGCATTTGTTATCACACACAAGTCACATTGGGGGAATGCATTATTTTCATGGATGTCCATTATCTCAAACCAATTCAGCAAAAGTAATGGGATTTCTGAATTCAGCACCCTCAAAATACCCTAAATCCATTCAAAAAACCTTGGCACCTGAAAATTTTTTTTTTGGCCATTTGTAGCATCATGTATCAAGAGGCGGTTTTAAAGCGTCAATATCTAGAAAAATACTTGAAGTTGATCCTTCACGTTTTATAGGATAAATATTTGGTACTATGGTGCTTAAAGTGCCTGAAAAATCCACTGTGCAACCTCTGGCAGTAGATTTGAAGACCTGTACAAACCACAATATTAAAGTGAAGTGATTAGCCAGTGTTGACACACCACAACAAAACACATCCTGTATTTAACCCATATGTGACATAGCAAAAGATGGCTAATTCTGCACCTGAGTCACAGTACCTTGCTCAGGGATTCAAACCAACAACCTTTCAATTATAAGTACAGTTCCCTAACCATTATACCACCACTCCTAAAGGTAGAGGGCTGATATTTTATATACAGCTTCACATATAAAAGATGCATTATATTGTGTAAAATAGTGCATATCAGAGAATGGTTTCAGATATATTAAATCTTCACATTTTTATTCAGTGTGATATTCCCCAAGTATGACACCAAATCCAAATTAACTTTAGTGGGACGAGCAAGTTTCAAATCCAAAATTTGATAGTGATGGTCATTTTTCGCAAATTCATTTTTGAAATCCTCCTGTATTTGTGCATGGTGGCCTGCCAGTGAAGGCCTATATTCTATCACTTGTAAAAATGAGTGTTTTACAGATAGAGGGCTTACATTTCACACACTGCTAATACTGGATAAAATAAAATGTGAAAGATATTCCCAGTCAGTTAGTTACAGAGATACTGAAGATCCAAAACCCAGTGTAATGTTAAGTACTATGTTTTCCTTTTTCATTTTCTTTATTTTATAACTTCCACCGCCCATGGAGGACTACTTTATTTTTCATTTCCATTGCAAGTTCGAGGTACCAGGTTCAACCCCCCCCCACACCCCGAGTCGTTTTCAAGGTGCAGCATCTGACAGGAACTCCATCACGTTTATTCTCACTTTTGGGAAGTAGGTATCTAATAATATTCTGTCCAAGAATTTTTAATGTCATAAATCTGGTTTATTTATTGTGTTTTCTTATTTTTGCGTATACACTATATTGCCAAAAGTATTGGGACACCCCTCCACATAATTGAATTCAGGTGTTCCAATCACTTCCATTGCCACAGGGGTATAAAATCAAGCACCTAGGCATGCAGACTGCTTCTACAAACATTTGCGAAAGAATGGGTCACTCTCAGGAGCTCAGTGAATTCAAGCGTGGTACCATGATAGGATGCCACCATTTGTGAAATTTCCTCGCTACTAAATATTTCATGGTCAACTGTTAGTGGTATTATACCAAAGTGGAAGCAATTGGGAACAACAGCAACTCAGCCAGGAAGTGCTAGGCCATGTAAAATCAGAGCGGGGACAACACATGCTGAGGTGCACAGTGTGCAGAAGTCGCCAACTATCTGCAAAGTTAATAGCTGCAGACCTCCAAAGTTCGTGTGGCCTTCAGAGTTGCTCAAGAGCATTGCGTAGAGAACTTCATGGAATAGGTTTCCATAGCCAAGCATCTGCATCCAAGCCTTACATCACCAAGTGCAATGAAAAACATCAGATGCAGTGGTGTAAAGCACACTGTCACTGGACTCTAGAGCAGTGGAGACATGTTCTCTGGAGTGACGAATCACGCTTCTCTGTCTGGGTTTCCTGGTTGCCAGGAACCGCGGTACTTGCCTGACTGCATTGTGCCAAGTGTAAAGTTTGGTGGAGGGGAGATTATGGTGTGGGGTTGTTTTTCAGGGGTTGGGCTTAGCCGCTTAGTTCCAATGAATTAAGGTGCAGCATACGTAGCCATTTTGGATAATATCATGCTCCCAACTTTGTGGGAACAGTTTGAGGAAGACGTGACTCCTGGCTTGCATTTGCAAAACAAAGGGTGCAAGTTGCCCTTCCACCATTTGTTGGTAAATGAACTGTCTGTCCAGGCTGGGAGTGGACGTCCTCCTAGTGGAGTCGCCCAGTGTTGTGCAGCCAGATGCTATTGGGCCCTAAGCAGGAAGGTAGACCAACACTGAAAGACAGGAAACACTCACACAGGGAATGACGTAATGACGACAATGACGGATTGGGGAGCACAAGACAAACGGACACTAATATACCTGGATTAACGAAGGGCAAATGAGAGGCAGGTGATATCAATAGGCATAAACGGAAGGGAATGGAATGGCCAGCACTGCCCTCTGGTGGCCGTACGGGAACACGACAGACAGATCCTAACATATTGTCCCATTGCATTATGATACTCATAGGCGTAGATTTATGGGGGAGGGACACTTCCCCCTCAATGTTGAAATGGGGGGGGGGGTGGTCATCCCCCTCAGTAAAATCACATGTAAAGCCAGGTTTACAAAAAAACATACGATTAATATATCTCATTACATAATTTAAAGTTTGTTTTTTTTTCATACAGTTTGTATTTGAAGATCCCCCTACCCTCCGTTAGAACGATTTATTCTCAACTCCCAGTCCGGAAGGCAGACGCTCACTTCCAGACCCGCGAGTAGAGAGTCTAGAGACAGTGAGAGCGGAAGCACGTTGCGACTTTGTATATAAACTTAGCTCATCGAAAACCTTGTATCATAACCAGCAGTTAACTAATAAAAGGGTATGTGAAATGGTGGAATTTAATCGTCTCATGTCGATTAAGTTTCATAAACATCTTATTTGATTGCGCAAACTGCAACTAGCTAGGTTAGTTAACAGCATAGCACAAATACCAACGCTGATAACGCAGCGGTACTTAGCTTTTGTGTCAGTCAATTCTCATCCCGCTGTGTTTGCATTTACAGCACAAGAATAATCAAGAAGGCGTCAAAAAACGGGGCCAGATCC